TAATAATAATATATGCTTTATTGTACACCACACAATCACATTATAGGATAAATATTAACAAAAATAGTGCACAATGGGCGGTCTTATCGCACAAGGCGATTTCTTACAGACAACCTTTGGATGGAGCAGTAATAGGAGTCTGATATGGGTCGTCAAGTGTACAATAATTAATAACTTTATAAAGTACTATACATATAATACAAAAATACAACTACAACTCAAAAAATAAATAAATAAATAAATAAATAAATATAAAAATAAAATAATATACAATATACAATATGATACATAAATTACATAATGGTGTGTATTTGTGCATGTGTGTGTATGTGTGTGTATGTGTGTGTGTGATTAAGATAGGATATAAAATTATAAAGAGAGGAAATGCTCTTTAACAAGTTTTTTAAATTGCGATATGGATTGAGCTCGCCTCGCTGCAATCGGTAAAGCATTCCACAACCGAGCTGCTTGCACTGTAAAGGATTTGTCTAAAAAGGAAGTGGAATGCAAACAAATACTCAATTTCAGACTCTCCGATGATCTCAAAAACTTCGAATGTGTATCGCCAAGGTACGTAAAACGTTCTTTTAGATAAGTAGGGGTAGTGGGATTAAAAAGTATATTGTAAAGAAGTGAAAGAATATGAGTATTCCGGCGAAGGCGAATAGGCAGCCATTTGAGCTTGTTGCGGAACTCAGAGACGTGGTCATACTTGCGCAATCCAAATATGAACCTAATGGAAAGATTTTGAAGTCGCTCAAGCTTGTCTAATTGTTCTTGGGTGAGATCAAGATAGCTGGCATCAGCATAGTCGAGAATTGGTAGAAGTAGGGATTGTGCTAATGCAATTTTAGTAGTAGTTGGTAAGAAATTCCGTAGACGCCTCAGGGCGCCCGCCGAGGCAAAAACCCTACGGCTGACCTCCTGCACCTGTTTAGACCAGGACAGAGTACTATCAATGTAAATCCCCAAGTTCTTGACTTCACAGGAAAAAGGAATCTTTGTGTTAAGTAGACATACTTGGGGAAGAGTAGACCAGTCTATTTTAGAGACAGTCCTTGAGCTGCCGACAACCATCACTTGTGTTTTTGATGGATTAATATGCAGCCCGAACTTCATGCTCCAGTCACCAATTCGTGCCATATCACGGTTAATCAGCGCAATAGCATCAGGTAACTCATGCAGTGAAGCATTTGTGTAGATCTGTAGATCATCGGCATAAAGGTGGAAGGAAGAAGAGAGTTCATTAGCGATAGAGTTGATAAAAAGCGCAAAGAGAAAAGGGGATAGAACACCACCCTGCGGCACACCGGAAGCAGTACAACACCATGAAGAATAACGATCCTCACAATGAATACGCTGCCGGCGACCAAATAGGTAGCTACGAAACCAGTCAATTACCGATGGGAATACGTTAAGAGAGCTGAGTACGGCGAGCAAAATGTCGAAGTCAACGGTATTAAATGCGTTACTAAAATCGAGCAGGACAAGTACCGTCAACTTCCCCATCTCCATACTCGACCTAATGTCATCGGTAATGTTTACGAGAGCCGTGGTAGTGCTGTGACCCGGACGAAAACCAGATTGGTACGGACTGAGGAAATTGTGCTTGGTAAGGAAAGAACTAAGTTGATGATGGATAAGTTTTTCTAGGATCTTGGACAGGAAAGGAAGAATGGATATAGGGCGATAATCGGAAAAAGAAGCAGGATTTGTTTTCTTGGGAAGAGGAATTACGTGAGCTTCCTTCCAAATCTGAGGGAAAGCTCTATTGGAGACAGAGGAATTTAGGACAAAAAGGATGATAGGAGTAATTTGATCTAGGATAGGAATTATCATTTTGCGGCTTACACAGTCACCACCAACGGCATTCGATGTCGTCGACAGAATGCTCCTCCTAACCTCACATGCAGTAAATTGACTGAAGACGAACGGAGGAAAATCAGGTAGCGGAAGTAACGAAAGAAAGTTTAAAGTGGAAGTTTTGGCGGCCATATCTAAAGCGACCGAGGAGGAAAAGTGAGAGTTAAGAGAATTAAGATCTAGATCTTTAGGTATAGGGTCTTGAGTAGGTTTTCCGATACCTAGTGATTTGAGGAACTTCCACACTTTAGCCGGATCACTATCTTGAACTGATCTATGGATGTGTTGGCGTTTAGCATTCCTGCACACCTTGCTGCACTGATTTCTAAACCTAATGTATTTTTCCCTGTTGCAGACACTCGGCTGGATCTTAAATTTAAATTTTGCAGCAGCTTTTTTAGCAATCAGTTTCTTTATTTCATCAGTTAACCAAGGTGCTGGGAGATGCTTAACCCTGACGGCATTGACAGGAGCGTGTTTGTCATATAGTTTAATAACAGAGGCAGTCAGGAATTCAACTTGTTCGTCAACCGATGCCGCCTCAGCCAGAGGTTTCCAGTCGATGTCAGCAGCATCCTCCCGTAGACGCTCAACATTCATGCCCTCAAAATTGCGAAGATAGAGAGTTCTCGACTTATGCTTGGGTGGGCGAATTTTGAAGGATGCATAGATAAGGTCGTGGTAAGAGAAGGCGTCAGCCGGACACTGGCCATGTTTGGCGACGTTGTTCGGGGAAGAAACTAAGATTAAATCAAGCAGCCAAGGAACTGAATTAGGGAAATGGTGAGTAGCATTGAGGTCAAGGATAGAAAGATTGGTAGACTTAATTAACCGGGAAAAAGAAGTGGAACGAGTGTCGTTTTTTAACAGACATGTATTGAAATCCCCCATTATAATACAGTGATCATATGAGGGTACAAATATTTCTAGGAGCTGTTCAAAAGAGGAGAAGAAGTTAATACGTAGAGATGGACAATAATACACGCCAAGAAGAATTTTAGCGCGGTGTAACTCAACCTCCAAAAAGAGGTGTTCACCAGCATTCTGGGGAGGAGGCTGTGCGGACATATTCAAGATAGTAAACGAAATATTCTTACGGAGATATATGGCCACACCGCCCCCACCCCCAATCGCACGGTCATTCCTTATCAAGTTAAATCCCGGAAGAGAGTAAGAGGAAGAAGGGAGACAAGGTTTCAACCACGACTCGGACACCAGAATGGCGTGAATGTACTTACAATCGAAAAACGCCAGCATATCAGTGTAATGAGCCGGAATACTCTGAGCGTTAATGTGAACCACATTGAAGTTCTTCTTGCCTTTAAAATTATTAAGACAACTTATTTATAGTGGAGCTGCAAATAACCCAGCGTAATATCTGGACTCTAGCTCGATGCCGTGGTAGTAGGAACGGAGTATTTCTTAGTCAGCTAAAGTCTTGACACCCTCAGCTCTCCGCCTCACTCGTGTATAAGGCGGGGAGCTGAGGGAGTGTCAGGAAAAGCCATTGGATTTTACTCCCTTAAAAAGTCGGTCTAATTTAAGTTTAAAAATTGTAATAAATACCATTATTAGGACGCCTAACTACAGCAGTTTCTTTTCTCTTTTGCACTTCACACACATAGGTCCATACTTACATTGCAAGTTAAACTGTCAAACACCAAGCGGTCACCGGTGACCGCAACCAATTGTTCTATAATTGTGTCTACAAAACCGGTACTCGACGAGTTAAATAAAAACTAGTAAAATGTATGAATTTA